GTTTTAGTCTTTTGACAAATTATGGAATAGTGCCTCAACAAACTATGGGACAAGGCTATACCTCATGCACCGGAGGGCATCCTAAATATCATATGAATTTTCTCTACTCCCAATCTCTATGCAAACTCCTGCCCATTGGTTATGCCATATACAATGTTCACTCATTTTTATATTTTCATTTTCTAATCATCATAATCAGTATGTTAGGCTCACGATCGTGTGCTACCTAAGTGAGCATCTAATTTAATTTCACAACATTATTCTCACTTATCACAACAATCCATTTCTTCATTAACCTACATTTACCTCAACACAATAACACATTTCATCTTTCTAAAGGTATATGCATACTCATAGTTCGAAAACTATCTTGATTTCACATTTGCATTACAAGCTAGACATAACATTATGCATATTTGCATTTTTAAAACATAGATTAAATGTAATAATGTGTTTTTCACATTGAAAATCAACTCATGCATGTGACAATCCATATTATCCATAATTAACAATCAATTAACATATAACTACCCATAATTGGGTTCCTCTTATTACTTCAAACCTTTAAAAGGTTAAAAGTTTACCCCTAAATATTCTAAGCTTTTAAACTTGATTTTTCAAGCCAAAATAGTGTCCACGAGTTTAATGTACAATCTACAAATTATAGGATTCATTAATTTGGTCAAATACACATTTTTCAACTCTTTTTCCCCTTTCTAGACTTTTTAATGCCCACATTGTATAAGTTTGGGCCTACCCATTGAGTTTATCAACTCTTTTTAGTCCCTAATAATATTGATGAGCCATTAAATCTAATTAAAGGCATTACATTCTTCCAACAACCCTCATTAATGTTATTTTTGCATAACAATGAGGCCCAACGTAACAATTAAGAGTGCTAAAACTTGATATCTATAGATTTAGGTACTCTAATCTACTCCCATTAACTCCATTTGAGTTAATAAATTTAGACCCATAATCAATATGGACCAAAAAATCATCTTTTACTATTAAACCCTAACAAAAAAAAACTCATAAATGTAAAAGAAAATAGGAGATTAATAAGTGTGATACTTACCTTTGATGTTTGTAGTTTCTAAAATACTCTCAATGTCATCTAAGAGTAAACCCTAGTAGAGCATGGAACGTCTCCCTTGTTTTCTCCTTTCTATTTTTGCCTTAGTTCGTGATTGATAAGCTATAGAAAATGGCCATTCACTATGGCGGACGCATAATATGCCACGGCGCATGGAACAAAAAGGGCCTCCACAAGCGTGTCAACGCACATGCGTAGTGGACCAAGCTACAACGCATGGCACAGTGTCTTCCCTCTTCACTTTTCTTCCTCTTTTCATATTTAGGTGATTTGATTCTTCTTCAGACCTACTTTTATAGCTTAAATCACAATCAAATATGCCAGTTAAACTTCTCTGGTTGTACACCTCACTAACAACTTAATCAATCTAATTAAGCTTAAACAATCAGATTAAAATTTAAGGATGTTACAAATCACGATTATGAGAACTAGACTAGACCAGTCAATTTGACTAGTTGAATCGGCAACAAATCTTGAGTTTGATTTAGTTACGAGAGAAAACTGGCTAATCTGAGAACCGACCATGAACTGCTAGAACCAATTTGAACCTGTCAAAAACCAGTGAAAAAATTGGTTGAATCGTTCCTTTTTTTAATTTTAAAATTTTAATTCATATTTATAAACTATAATTTACACATGTTAATAAAAAACTATAATTTATACATTTTTATACATGATAAGAATTGATAAATGAAGAAAAATGAATAGTTGGCAAAAAATGAAGAAAATTGAATAAATATGCAAGAAATATGTGTAGAATATGTATATATGTATATATTTTAAAGTTATAAATAATAAATTATTAAATAAGCATATATTTTGGATTAAAATGATGAAATATTTATGGATATTATCTTTTTATTTCTTATTATTATGTTTGACATTTAAAAATTCCTTTTTATTAATATATATAGTTATTTATTTATATTTTAAGTATATATTATTAAACATATATAAATTTATTTATGACCGGTTAAATTATGATTTAGCTCATGGTCTAATCATTGAATTGAGAATCGGTACCTTAACTTATTTAATAATTGGTGTGGTTTTTGTAATATTGACCAAAACACATACATGCCTTGTTCATCCATTGCTTTCGCACTGCAAGCCTTGTTCGCATTGCTTTCGTGCAAGTCGCATTGTTGATTGGTTGTGAAACACGCATGAATGCCCAATATGTCGATTTCAAATGCCCACAAGTGATGTTGATCACATTTAATCAAAAATTAGCTACTTAGATTATATTCATTCATCAAATTTAGTTATTTATGATGTCCATGTAATATGGATTGAAATTAATGTTGCTTTTATTTTTATTTGTTCGCCTTCTCTTTCCCCCTCTATCATTGTTGCATTTTTTATATAGTTGAAGTATAAATCTATTCCGAATGTGCAATTGATATCTTAATATTTTAAAAGGCTTATTAATGTTGCCCTAATTTTTTAAAAAAAAATTAGACAATTTCGCATTGAGTTAGCTAACTAAAGATGTTTACAATTAGTTGACCTTTAGATTCTAGTAGGCCTTACTTGTGATTTTTTTTATTATGATGGCCTTAATTGAGATATTCAAAATTAAAAGACTCAATTAATATTATTTTAATATATTTCGTTGATTAGAAATTGGAAAAATACAACAGCATAAATGATAATCAAGTTTCTTAAAATGTCACAATTCCTCTTGAGTCCTTGGATATCCTTCTGACATTAATAATTTTAAATTAAATGACTATATTAATATTGCAAGACCATCAACTTACTCTAGCCCCATCAACAGCAATCACAACATGGCCATTTGGAAACTTTGAATAAAATTTATTGACTAAGAGTTTAATAGAATTATAGCATTTCAAGATATTAAGATTTTACTGTTATTTTTTCATTATTAAATGAGGCTTTGCTTGCATTTTTTTTAAACTTGAAAAATATAATAATTTATGTGTGCCCAAGAAATCAAGAATGTTTTTTTTTTTTGGCCAACTGAAATCAAGAATGTTTAATCAATTTAATGCGCTAAAAAATGGGAGGTTTCCTCAGTTATTTCAATTTTCATGTACTCCCGCGGTCTAGAAATACAAGTTGTGACAGTGAACTTTCATGGTAAGAAATAAAGAAATTTAAGGGAACAAGAGGTGGAAAATAGCAATACAACAATCATAATTATCAAACTCTCAAATTAATTCTCTGAATTTAATATTTTAAATTTATAAAACTGTGTTAACTCACAAATAAACTTGAATTAAATACAAAATTAATTAAACTTGTGAGTTTACCTCCAAGTTTATCGCTTTTACATTTTCAACTTATAAAATCATGTTAACTAATTTATAAAATTAGACTAAATATAAACTTAATTAAACTTATTGACCTTATTTTTTTTTAAGTTAAATAAGTTAAGTATATATTATGAAGAATTTGATTTATAAAAGTTATAGGACTTGGTTCAAAATAAAAAAAATTTAAAATATAAAAAATAATATCAATAAAAATAAAAAACAAAAATACTAAAAATAAGTTTTCCTATTTTAAAATTTATATATTTTATGTATGATAATTTATCAACATAAATAGGTTTAATTTCAATTATTTATATTTTAATGATTATTTATTAATAAAAATAAACTCTTATGATTTTACAAAATAAATTTATGATTTAAATTTACATTTCTATTATGAATTTATTTCAACTTATAAATTTAACAATCTTGACTACAATAATTTAATTTCACCTCATTAAGAATTGGGCTCGAAATGGGTCAAACATTTCACCCAGTTCATTAAAGTCCAATTCATGACATGTCAGCAGGGCCATTGGACTTGCTTTGGATGGATATTGAACTTATCAGGAGTTCCGAAAGGCCTTCAGGAAAAACATTGCTTAGTCAAAAATTTATTTTACATGCACGTACCAGTCAAAATAGCTCAGTTTTTAATGCGCTAAAAGATTTGGTCCGGGAAAAAGTAAAAGAATGTTAAAAAATAAATAGAAAGTGAAAAAGGAGAAGAGAACAGAAAAAGAAATTAAAAAGAACGCAGTCCTATATACATATACATTTTTTATTCGTTTTTGTTATTTTCAGCACCGGGGCTTTACATTAGCCAACAGAGGCTTCCTCGCGTGGCCGCCGAACACCTTCCTTCGCCTTCGCTTTTTGCTAACTTATATGCGTATTACTTATCTAACCGTGCGCATCCTTATCAAATAGATAAATATGAGGGAGTTAGATAAAATTTTTTGACCTTATTTTATCACGATTAATTAAAATAGATAAACATGAGGGAGTTAGATAAATTTTTTATATCATTTTTAAACTTAAAATTGATTGAATCAAATTTATTATAAAAATATACTGAATAAGATTTGATTTAAATTTAAGTTATCATACTTTATCATGATAAAGAAACAACTCCCTTCTTTATTAAAAAAAAAAACCCATACTTGAACTAATATTTATCTATAACATTTTCAACTCCAGCTCAAATGATTATCCGTATAAAATATTCATAACATGATTTAAAATTATCTAAGAATAAAAATAATTTAAAATATTTTAAAATGTTTAAAAAGCCTATTAATTATGCAATTTTATATCCATGAAAAATTAATAAAATGTAGTTTATCATTTTAAACAAAGATAAAGTTATTAGATATACATCTAATTGAAATTAATTTAAACTAATATAATATAACATATTATATATCTTATCTATAAAATAAGATAACTTTCCTTTTTCTTTTCCCCTTATAAACATCCAATAGGATAACATTCTAGTCCTATTAGGATGCTTAATTAATAGCCCTTAAGATCTATATAAAGAGATGGTTAATGAATGTCTTTCTTCATAATTATTGCTGCTTGAAGTTACTCTTTCTCAATCACTTATTTCTCTCATATCAATTATGTCTTTATCTCGTCGTAGTACATCACATGTTCCTCACCGTGTTCATCATGGCACTCAGCCTCTAGCTTCAAATCATTCTCATCCCAATAATTTTTGTAATGTTGATCCAAATTTCTGTGATCTTTCTTATAATAATTTTGTTAACAACCATCCTCTTCCCATCATGCCGCCATGTTATGAATATCCTCACACGGGAAATTTTCCTATTATTCCTTCTGTACCTCCTCATCAACGACCTAATCATAATTATTATCCGATCACTCCTTGTCATTATTTTGTTCCTCAATTCCCTCAAACATTAGTATGTTCGAGTGTTCAAAGACCACTACCACCAGAAGACCTAGAGTTGTACCCTAAGATTGTGAAGCAGATAGAGTACTATTTTAGTAAACAAAATCTAGTGGGAGACATATTCTTGAGGAAGAAGATGGATAGACAAGGTTGGGTTGATGTGTTCGTGATCGCTGAATTCAGAAGAATGAAACAGTTGACTCAAAATGTACATCATATATTGGAAGCACTTGCTACTTCTGATCTTGTGCAAGTAAAAGGTTACAAGATGAGAGTGCGATACAACTGGAAGAAATGGATCCTTCCTCCAAATTATCTTAGTAATGGCGTTGAAGAGCTGACCCAACAAGTCCAGAGGATCTCCATAGGAAATACTACCAACAATGACCAACAAGATTAATAAGATTAATAGCAAGCTAATCTAATCTTGAACGTTTTTTTTTTTTTTCTGGGGTCAGGTTGAAGAATTTCAATTCTTACGGATAGTCTTGTAGTCTAGTGATATTTCATTTATTTTTGTTAGTGTCAAATAATCAATCACCAGTTTGATCTCATGTGTTCTTGGACTTGATAAAGGAAGAGTTTCAATTCCTAAGGAAAAGAACGAGGACATTATAAGATAATCATATTTTTTGAATCTTAATTAGCTGGCTTAAGTTTTTATTCTTAGCTATTTTTTATAAGAATTGTTAGCTACCTTATGTGTTTTGTTTTTGTAATGGGTTGGTAAGACTTAATATTTAATTTGATTATACTGCTATTATAATTCAGAATCTCTGAAAGATATGACCACATTAAATATTCAATCATATTTTGAATATAATATTGTAAAACAAAAGAAGTTTTGTGGACCTTTGTAGTCGGAGTGGTTATGTGGAATTTATGGAATATTTTTTACTTATCAAATTATTTTATTAATTTAAAAATAAAGAGGAAATTTTGTTGCTCTGATTGCTATATATGTAATTCTATTGTCCATTGACTATCATGTACCAAATATTTGTTTGATTGAAGCGCATTATTATCATCACAATTAGATCACGACATGTATACTATAACAAATATTTATTTAAAAATTAATTTAGATAAAAATTAGTCCTCAAAATTAATTAAACATTATTACCTGGGTATGGATATAGTCGGATTTCAATCATGCCATAGTATATATTTATAAATTATAAATTTTCATATGGTCATTTATATATAATATTGAAAAAAAATTCAAACATAAAAGATTTTGCACCGGCTTTACCTATGAAAATGTTAATTCAGGAATTCAAGAATCAACAATGGCGTATAATATTTAATTATCTTATTTTACCGGGAAAAATAATGAACCTTTTTTATTTCGTCAAGGAAAAAATCAAATAATGTTCATCTCATTATTATTTGTAACCCTCAAACTCTAACTTAATTAAACAGCATCATCAGTCAAACATATTCCATAACAAAAAACATCACTTTAAACCCATGTATTTCGTTCGTGTATTGGCATTGGTCCATGTATTTCTTTTTTGATGTTTTTTATCCCTATGTTTTTATTTTTCATTGCTTTAGATTTCTCTAACATCCCTATACTTTGTTCTTGAAAGGATCTAAAACAATAAAAAGTAAAAGTGCAAGAATAAAAAATACTAAAAAAAATATATGGATCAATAGTAAAACAGGAGAAGAGTATAGAGACCCAAAATTAAGTTTTTTTTTCATAAATAACTTAAAAATAATAATCCATTGGTCTTTATTTATAAGAAAATTTTAATTATTTTACACAAATCAATAGAACCAATTCATATTTTTAAAAGTATTCACTGTACTGTTAGTACAAAAAATTATGCATTCTTCTACAAATGAACTTAATTAAGTATTATTTTGTCACACACATGCTTCTTATATACTTATCCTTATCTATTTATTTTTAGCAAAATAGACATTTTCTTTTTATTTAAATAAATCAAGATATGTAAATCTTCTATAGATTAGCTACTATATAACAGCTATTATAATATTAATATTGTTAATATATTAAACTTCACATGTTTTGATTTGATTGAACAAAAAATATATTAAGTATATAAGTTAAGTGCATAAATCTTATCCTTAATTAAAAATATCATTTTAGAGGGATTTTTTTTTACATATATCCATTACTGTTTGTATTTTATAAATTGTTTTATAAATAGAGACACTCAACTATATTTCATATTTGTTTTACAGAATGGGATGGTGTGGTTATTTCTCTCACTGTTTTTGAATATTGCGTTGTTTTGACCATTATGTTTAAGAGATTTAATTATTTTTAGTTTTAAGATGTGTGAATTTATGTGAATTTTTATTTTTTTAATATTTTTTATCATCTTATTATTTTTTATAAAATATAAAATATTTTTTAAAAAGGAAAATTTACAAATCTCAACTTCATCAACAAGTGCACCTTGATTAATGATATTGGAAGATTAAGTATGTTTTTACATGGTAAATTACAATGTTTTTATCTACTAGTAATAGTTAATACTACTGGTGGGACAATATAATCATCCTCTGTGTGTATTGCATGTGTGTATCGCCATAAACCATCCGAGATGCTATAGTGTTAATATTGGACCCGGTTGATATTATGCCTTTTTAATTTAAAATTAAGAAAAGGAATGAAAATATCGTTTGAAGAGTAATAACTAATAACTCATACTATTAATAAATAAAATAATGATACTATAATAAAGATTAAAAAAAGGAAAAATAATGTTTTGGTCCTCATATTTTATGTAGATTTTGAAGGAAGTACCTTTCTTTGTAATTTATTTGGAATCCGTCCCTGCACTTTGCCTAAATTATAACATTAAAAATAATTTAAAATATTTTTAAAATCATTTAAATTTTGAAAAGGCCTACTATTAATTATGCAATTTTATATCTGTCAAAAAGTTAATAAAATGTAGCTCTTTAATTTGAAACAAAATGTAACGATTAGATGTACATCTAATTGAAATTAATTTAAACTAATATAATATAACATATTCATATATCTTATATATAAAACAAGATAACAATCTTTTTTTTTAATAAACATCTAACATCATAGCATTCTATTCCTATTAGGACGCTTAATTAGTATCACCTTAAGTCTATATAAAGAGATGGTTAATGAGTGTAGTTCTTCATAATTATTATTGCTTCAAGATGCTTTATCTCAATCAATTATTTCTATGATATCGATCATGCCTTTTTCTCATTAAAGTTCTACATCACTGTTGATTCCAAATATGTATGTTCCTCGCTATTTGTCGAGGACCATCACATCCTAGGTTCGTCATAGCACTCCTTGGGCTTCAAATCATTCTCATTCTATTAATTTTTGTGATGTTGATCCAAATTTCTATGACCTTTCTCATAATTTTGTCAATAATCATCCTTTTCCCATCATGCCACCATATTAGTATCCTCAAACAAAGTTTCCATGTTCCTGACTTCCTTCCTTACCACCTCCTTGTTATTATTTTGTTCCTCTATGCCCTCAAACATTAATACTTTCAAGTGTTTTAATGAACATTGCCACTAGAAGATCCTAATCCAGCTATACCCCAAGAAAGTGAAGCAGATAAAGAATTATTTTAGTAAAGAAAATCTGGTGGGAGACATATTCTTAAGGGAGAAGTTGGATAGACAAGGTTGGGTTGATGTGTTCGTGATCGTTGACTTCAGAAGAGTGAAACAATTGACTTAGATAATGTACATCATATATTGGAAGCACTTGCTATTATTTCTTCTATTATACAAGTAAAAAGTTACAAGATGAGAGTACGATACAATTGGAAGAAACGGGTCCTTCCTCTAAATTTTTGAATTTCTTCAACTTATTATAAGAATAGTATAGATGGAGCAGCAGAAAATAATATTAATAATGGTGTTGTAGAGTTGACCCAATAGGTCCAAAGGATCTTCATGGGGGATACCATCAATAAGCGCGAGATTAATAAGGTATGGCATTTTCTGATTAATTGTCTGATTAATTATTTCATTGTATTTAATAGCAAGGTAATCTTAAATGTTTTTAATTTCTCAGGTGAAGAGTTTCAATTCTTGCTCATAGCCCTGTATCCTAGCAGCATTTCATTTATTTTTGTTGGCATCAAATAATCATCATTGGTTGGATCTCAAGTGTTCTTGGACTTGGAATAAAAGATAGAAGAAGAATTTCAATTCTTGAATAGAAGAACAAGGACATTATAAGAGAATCATATTTGTTAAGTCTTTATTGGCTGGGTTAGATTTTTAGATTCTTAGCTTCTTCTTGTTTTTTTTAGTAAGAGTTGTTAGCTACCTTCGGTGTTAATAATGTTTGTTTTGTAATGGGTGGATAAAACTTAAAACTTACTGTAATTATCTTGATATTGTAAATTGGAATTTCTATTAGGAGAAAAATGCGTGCATTTAGTATTGAACAGTAATAAAATTACTTTTAATTAGAGTATATTTGTGTACAATAAAAAAAGTTTGTTGACTTTTGTATTGGGTGTGATTATCTGGAATTTATGGAATAATTTTTTATTTATCAAATTATTTTATTAATTAAAAAGAAAAAAAGGAAATTTTATTGTTCTAAATACTAAGTTGTGCTTCTATCGTCCGTTGGCTATCAAGCTTTAAATGTCCGTTTGATTGAAGCACATTATTATCATTGCATTTCACAACACATATATTATTATTTGAACTAAATATGAAAGGTCACCTTTTAAGGCATCTAAGTAGGCCATAACATTATATGAATTAAGTAATTAAAGAGTCAGGTCCAATCAATAATCTAAACAGAAGGGCCAGCCTAGATTTCAAGAGAAAGCCTCGGTTAGATAAACACGTTGACATCTCATCAATTGTAGACTTACTCCTTAGATCATTGGTACATAAAACCACAATCTCAAACGGCCTTGAATCTCGTGAAGACATGGCCATTAGTCCCGGATATCTTGGAGCACAAGCTGACAGTTAAACAATAAAACATGCTTTGAAGTAGATTATGCGTAGCTAATGCTTAATATTTTGTGACTACGTTCCAAATTTGAAGGGAGCAATCGCCATAGTTCTGTTATTATAAATAGAGAATCAAACTAGGGAAAGAAGACACGATCATTACTTCAAAGACTTACACTTTACACCCATAGCTCTTAGATTTATCAGATAGTTTTTTTTTCATTCCAAACTTGTAATCATTTACTCTTTGTAATCTTTAATATTAATCAAAAACTTGTTGTATCAAGTATTGTATTTTTTTACATCCAGGTAAATTGTGATAAGAGAGCTCGAAAATCTTTTGTCATCAATTGAGACTCAACATTTCTAGCACGCCAGATAATTTGTTATTCCTGACGAACAATTATAATAAATAGTTATTCAAAAATTAATATA